GCGGGGGTTCACCAGCTCACTCCAGCGAGTCACCGGGTGACCCGCTGCACGGACGCTCGGATAGGTGGACACCTGGCCACGTTTACACGTCGGCCGGGGTCGAGCTTGTACACACTGACCACTGCGTCTACTCCAGTCCCTGCGTCTGGTCAGGTAGCTGCGTCAGGTCAGGTGTTAGCTGCAGCGTCCAGGTCAGGTCCTGAGTCTGCCCCCTGCTCGTGTCGCCTCCTGTCTCACGAGACTCTCCTCTGGCACCACCGCCTTGGTCACCCTTCCATGCTTCGTCTCCGAAGCATGGCCTCCCGTATCCTTGTCTCTCGTCTTCCCCGGTCCCTCCCTCCCCTTCCTCCGGGACCTGGCCCTACCTGCGTCACCTGTGTCGAGGGGCGGCAGCGGGCTACCCCTCATTCCTCCCAGTTTCCTCCGACAGACGCCCCGCTGCAGACGCTTCACATGGACGTGTGGGGCCCAGCCCGCGTTTGTGGACAGGGTCACGAGCGCTACTTCCTGCTCGTAGTTGACGACTACTCGCGTTACACCACAGTCTTCCCCTTGCGCAGCAAGGGTGATGTCACTGAGGTGCTGATCGACTGGATCCGCGCAGCTCGTCTCCAGCTCAGGCGGAGCTTCGGCTCGGACTTTCCTGTTCTGCGTCTGCACTCTGACAGAGGCAGAGAGTTCTCCTCTGGCCTTCTGCGAGCCTACTGTAGTGCACGAGGTATCCGCCAGACCTTCTCTCTTCCGGACTATCCACAGCAAAATGGGATTGCTGAGCGCCGCATTGGCATGGTCATGGACGTCGCCCGTACGTCCATGATGCATGCGGCTGCCCCCCGTTTTCTGTGGCCGTTTGCGGTTCGGTACGCGGCGCATCAGATCAACCTTCAGCCCAGGGTCTCTATGCCGGAGACCTCCCCAGCTTTGCTGTGGACAAGGAAGTTTGGCGATGCGTCTGCGTTCCGTGTCTGGGGATCTCGGGCGTTTGTCCGCGACTTGTCTTCGGACAAGCTGTCCCCTAGTGCTGCTCCTTGCGTCTTCCTGGGTTTCCCCCCTGACGCGCCAGGGTGGCAGTTCTACCACCCCACCTCTCGCCGTATTCTGTCCTCCCAGGACGTCACGTTCGATGAGTCGGTCCCCTACTACCATCTCTTCCCCTACCGCACTCCGTCCCTCCCCCCGCCACCGCTCTTCCTTGTACCAGGTCCCCCCCCGATAGACCCCCTCCCCCATCAGGGTCCTGCCCCTTCAGGTGTGTCCTAGGTAGACGCTGTTGAGCCTGTCGAGGTCGCTGGTGACTCTGGTGCTGCTGAGGGTGCTGAGCCTGGGGGTGCTGAATCTGGGGGTGCTGAGCGTGTGGGTGCTACGCCTGGGGGTGCTGAGCCTGACGGTACTACTACTGGGGGTGCTGAGCCTGGGGGTGCTACGCTTGGGGGTGCTGAGCCTTGGGCTGCTGAGTCTGGGGGTGCTACGCTTGGAGGTGCTGAGCCTGGGGGTGTGGAGCCTGAGGGAGTTGGGCCTGCTGGTGCTGTGCCTGGCGGTTCTCCGGGTGCTTCTTCTCGCCGGGAGCCACTCTCTCCACAGGAGTTGCGTGAGTGGTTTACCCGGCGCTGGAGGCGAGCTGCAGGAGCTAGATTTGCTGCGGGTACTAGAGGTTCTGTTGCTGCTGAGGGAGCTGGTGCCACGGGTCCTCGAGGTGCTCGTACTGGGGGTACTGGAGCTGCTGGACCTGCGGGTACTTCTGGAGCTGGAGCTGCTGCGGGTGTTGGCACGGAGGCTAGTGCTGTCGGTCCTGGAGGCGGCTCTGCTAGGGGTACTACTGGTGCTGCTGGAGGTACTGGAGCTGGAGCTGCTACTGGTGCTGATACTGCCACTGGGGGTGCTGGTGCTGTCCCTGCTGTTTCTGGAGTCGCCGCGCGGCCTCGCCCGTACTTGGTTCCGCTCCTTCAGCAGGTTCTTGGTCTCCCGTCTTCTATTAGTCCTCCTCCTCCCTTAGAGTGTCCACAGCTTGTCCCGTCGCAGTTACGGTTACAGCCCGCCTCCCCACTGCCTGCTCCATCTCCCTACACTGGTCCTACTGTAGGTCTTGCTGAGCGTCGTGAGCCTGCGTCTCGCCCTGCGTCGCCGGTCCGTGCTGCTCGCACTAGTGGTCGCGGTTCAGCGTCCTCCTCCTGTCCCTGGCACGCACCGGATGTCTCTGCGTCCATCCACTGCTTCTCTGCGTGCCCCTTTGCCTTCTCCTCTTGGGTCTTCTCTTCCTGCTCTTGCCGACCCGGAGTCGGACTCTCTTCGTGCTGCAAGTCCTAAAGTCACGCGTCTCCTTGCTACTGTTGTCAGTGACCCTTCCTTTGAGTCCACTGCTGCGTCTGCCCTAGTTGCTGAGCTCGTCGACTTTGCTGCTCGCTGTCGCCTAGACTACGCCGCCATTCTTGTTGCTGAGTCAGAGTCTGTCTGTCCTCCGTCCGTCGGGGGTGAGTGTGCCCTTGGCACGGACGTCCTCGAGGACAGGCAGGAGGAGTTCCACTGCTTGGCCGCTGCTTCACCTCATCTCGTGTCCGTACTGCTTACCCCTGAGGGAGACCCGGACGCACTTGACATCCCGACTCCGCGCTCTTACGCGAAGGCGATAGAGGGTCCCAACTCCTCTCACTGGCAGGCAGCTATGGATGCAGAGATGGCTTCCTGGAGGTCCACAGGCACCTACGTTGACGAGGTTCCCCCTCCTGGGGCGAACATCGTCAGTGGCATGTGGATTTTCAGGGTGAAGCGACCGCCGGGTTCTCCGCCTGTCTTCAAGGCGCGTTACGTGGCTCGTGGCTTTAGTCAGCGGCAGGGAGATGACTTCTTTCAGACCTTCTCTCCCACCCCAAAGATGACCACTCTTCGGGTACTGCTGCACATAGCTGCTCACCGTGACTACGAGCTACACTCTCTTGACTTCAGCACTGCTTTCTTGCAGGGCAGCCTGCACGAGGAGATCTGGCTGCGTCGCCCACCTGGTTTCACTGGGTCTTTTCCTCCTGGCACCCAGTGGAGCCTCGGGCGGCCAGTCTACGGTCTCCGCCAAGCACCGCGTGAGTGGCACGACACACTGAGGACTACGCTTGCGGCTCTTGGGCTTGCTCCCTCTACTGCCGACCCGTCGATGTTTCTGCGCACCGACACTTCTTTGCCGCCGTTCTACATCCTCGTGTACGTCGACGACTTGGTCTTTGCCACAGCTGACACTGCTGGACTCGCCCACGTGAAGTCCGAGCTGCAAAAGAGACACACGTGCACTGACATGGGTGAACTGCGCAGCTACCTTGGCTTGCAGATCACTCGGGACAGAGCACGCCGCACCATTACCCTGACTCAGTCACACATGGTGCAGCAGGTCCTTCAGCTCTTCGGCTTCACGTACTCCTCGCCTCAGGCCACTCCTCTACCTACTCGCCACTCGCTCTCAGCTCTTCCTTCGGATGAGTCCGTAGAGTCGAGTGGCCCATACCCAGAGCTTGTTGGCTGCCTCATGTACCTGATGACCTGCACACGACCTGACCTTGCATACCCTCTTAGCACTCTCGCACGCTATGTTGCTCCTGGGAGACAAAGACCGGAGCACATGGCTGCAGCGAAGAGGGTGTTGCGCTACTTGTGCAGTACGTCGGGCATGGGGCTTGTGCTTGGAGGGCAGAGTCCAGTGGTCCTCACTGGGCACGCAGACGCTTCTTGGGCTGACGACCAGGCTACGCAGCGGTCGTCACAGGGTTACACCTTCAGCCTTGGTTCCGGCTCTGTTTCGTGGCGGGCTACTCGCTCGTCTTCTGTTCTGGGCTCCAGTTGTGAGGCTGAGATCTACGCAGGAGCCATGGCTGCACAGGAGCTTCGCTGGCTCACCTACCTGCTGACTGACCTTGGAGAGCCGCCTCGTTCTCCTCCAGTGATGTACGTAGACAACAAGGCCATGCTGGCCTTGTGTTAGGAGTAGCGACTGGAGCACAGAACGAAGCACATTGCTCTCCGCTACTTTCTTGCTCGTAAGCTGCAGCAGCGTGGTCAGCTGCGTCTTGCGTACGTGGCCTCTGAGGCCAACACTGCTGATGTTTTCACCAAGGCACTTGTCTTGTGACCATCAGCGCTTCTGTACTCAGCTGGGCCTTGTGCCTGCCTTGCCTCACTTGCTCACCTCTTGACCTTGCTTGTACTGTTACATATATATATACCTGCTCTTGCTTGTCTAGCCTTTTATATATATATGTACTCCTGCATGTGACCTGGCCTTGTGGCCTTGAACTTGTGCTCGGAATGTGTGGTGACTTTGTGATCCACCCTGAGCTTGCTTTGCTTTGCTTTGCTTGACTGGTCTTGTGACCCCTTGTTCTCCCCACTTTGCCTATGGGGATGTGTCAGAACATTATAGCTCATGCATATTGTGTAGGCTATAGTGGGGTAGCCCATAAGGGGTACAACCCAATTAGGGTTAGTACTTGTACCTAATTCATTCATAGTTCATTCATTCTCGTTTCAATTTTCACAATTTTGGCAGAGGGCTGCAACCCATCGCCTACGAATCACGCAAAATGCAGCCCCCCGAGCGCAACTACCTAGTACACAACAAGGAAATGCTGGCCATCGTCCATGCATTTCGCACATGGCGCTGCTACCTCACGGGAGCTGACGTGACAATTCGAACCGACCACAAGTCACTACAGTACATGCGCATGCAATCGACACTCAATCCGCGACAAATCCGGTGGCTGGACTCCCTCGAGTCCAACTTTCGGTACACCATCACGTACAAGAAAGGCGCCAACAACAGTGCTGATGCCCTCACCCGACCATCCATGCAGAACGCGACGGTACTAATTGCCCCCACCAACCCGATGCTGACGGAACTATTCACCCACGACTACAAGATCAACAGATTTTCCAAGAATCGGCACCAGCAGGCGACTACGCAATACGGCAATTACCACCTAGAAGCCGGTACGAACCGGATTTGGGTGCTTGCCTACCAGCCTTTATGGGAGTTGCTGACACAGGAGGTACATGACTCCAACCTTTCCGGGCATTTCGGCATTGACAAAACACTCAAGCTGCTGCAGCGGAACTACTATTGGCCGGACATGCTAACCGACGTGCAGTGCTACGTGACAACGTGCCCGACCTGCCAGGAGATGAAGTCGTCGCGACAAAGGCCAGCGGGACTGCTGCAACCCCTCGAGCCACCCGAACGACCGTGGCAATAGGTGACGATGGATTTCGTCACGGGGCTCCCAGTTGGCGCGAGTGGCAACGACTCGGTGATGGTCGTCGTTGACCGACTGACGAAAATGGCGCATTTCGCACCATGCCGCACGACGATCACAACCGAAGACACAACAAAACTCTTCATCTCAACCGCCGTACGCGTACACGGGTTACCTTCGGCGATCATTAGCGATCGAGATCCGAAATTCACGTCGAATTTGTGGCTGGAAACGTGGGCACAGTATGGCACCCGCCTGCAGTTTTCGTCGTCATACCACCCGCAAACCGACGAACAGACAGAACGGACAAATCAAACAATGGAGCAGCTGATTCGCACCAACTGCCCGGACCTGACCAAGTGGGAGGACTCGCTGCCAATGTTGGAGTTCGCGTACAACAATGCCCCTTCCGCCACGACTAAACAATAGCCCATTTACTTAAATTATGGTATAGACCCAGTGGTACCCTCGCTAACGCCCTTGGACAACCCGGTACCATGCTCGCAGCAGTTCGTCACAGAACTGTAGACGGCCCGCAAGAAGGCAGCTGGCTTTATCCGAAAGGCTAATACTTCGGCAAGTCGGAATGCCAACCGTGTATATTCGTAACTGCCGTAGCGTGTGCGAAAAGCTGTATTCGTGCAGTCGTCGGCGAACATGCGGATTTGGTGGTAGCCTGCTCGTCTCTCGTCGGATTTGATGATTGTGCGGACGATCTGCTGCCATGCAGGCCCTGCAGGAAGAACCACACCGTATTTGGAGGCGGCGGAACGTCGTGCGCGCATGTCTGGTCACCGTACTGGTCGTACACGCATTCGGGCGATTCCGGGACGAAGTTGGGGTGCAGGGTGATGTTGGAAGCGCCTAACAGGTGCAGACTGTCCACTTGTCCGTCTACTGTGCACCCCACGCAGTACGGGCTGCTGCTGCTCACGTCCCAGCTGCGCAGTATCTCCGCCCACGAGCCGTTTCCGCCGTTCACTAACGCCGTTCCCCCCCCTGCTCCTCCGACTGTTCCCCCCGCTGCTTCCCCTAGGAGCGCATCGCGCACCGCCAGCAGAGCAGCAGTCTCCGCAGCGGACGCCTGCACGCCAGGCGCCGGCGCGGGAAGGTACCCCGCACCCACGGCGCCCGCCATCCGCGCGCTGTTGTTGCTCATGCGCAGCACGTCCCAGTCGTAACTCCAAACCCGGCGCGCGTCAAACAGCGGCCCCGATAGCTCATTAAACCGCATGTCCACGAGCCAGAAGTCGTCGCTGAAAAATGCCTCGGGAATACTGCCCGAGAAGTTGTTGTGCGACAGATCCAAGTCCCCGGACGGAAGCACCGTGAAAGCTCGCAGGTTGCGCGAGAGGCTGTTGTGACTCAGGTCGATCCGGATAAACCTACCCAAACCGCCCATGGATGGCTTGCGCCCCGACTGCGCATTCGTCGCGAGGAACAGGTCGGTCGGAACGCTCCCCCGGAGGCCCGCGTGCGGCACGCTTAGTCTCTCTAGCTTCGCGGGCAGCACGCAACCGTGCAGAGAGGCCCCCTCGTTCGCCTCACCTCCGCCGCCCCCGCCGCCGCCGCCGCCGCCGGTGGCGCTGGCGCTGCTTCCGGCGCTCGCGCCGCCCAGGTCGTTGAAGCCCAGCCAGAGCTCGCTCGCCGACAGCAGCGCCTCGCAGAACGGCACGATGGGCGCGTTGCTGTCGAGTCGCACCTCGTTGAGCTCCGTGAGCGACTCGGAGTCGCGCAGTGCCGCGGGCACCGAGCCGGAGAGACGGTTCCACCCCAGGTCGAGTTACCGCAGCGCCGTCATCTCAGCCAGCGCGGTCAGAATGGCGCCGGACAGGCTGTTGTTGCGCAGGATGAGCGCGGTAATGCTCCGCGAATACGCGCCCGCCTCCCCCGGGAGTTCTCCAGTGATGTTGTTCCTCTCCATGTCCAACCGACTCAGCGCGGGCGCGCGGAGAAGGGAGCGCGGAAGCTCCCCCAATTGCCAGACAGGATGACCGTTTCGAGCGACGGAGAGTACGCGTCGGGCCCATCGGGAAGGGACCCCGAAAGGCCTTCATGTTGAAAGTACGAGTGAAGACTAATTGTGTTGAGATCCACGTGGCGGAGCGCGGGCAGGCGGAAAAGGCCTGGCGGAATGGGCCCGGTGAAGTTGTTTTCGGGCATTTCGATTTCTGTCAGCTTCTGGAGGCGCGTGACGGACTCCGGCAAGTCGCCGGCGAGGCACGAGTGGCGGAAAACCAGCGACGAGAGCTCCGCGAGGTCGCCTATGGCGGGCGACAGCGTGCCGGGCGGACAGCTCCCTCCGCTCCCGCCGGGCCCGGGCATGTCGTGGCGGCTCGGGTCGGAAAAAATGCCCGTTATGTGGCCGGCTGGCGTGCACTCGAGCGGGCACCAGAGGCGGCACGACACATTAGCGGGCTTGGGCGCGATGCAGCAGTAGGAGACGTTGTGGCTGTCATCAAACAGCTTGAACTGCGTTATGTCGTCGTGCCAGAAGAACATCCTCTCCGGCAGCGCCGCGTACACCGCACGCATGGCCTCCCGGTCGACCTCCGCTATCTCCGCGACGCACCCGTCGGGGATCGGCGGCTCGGTGTAGGCCTCTGCCTCGCGGAGGAGCGCGATGAGCGCGAGGAGGGCAATGAGGGAAAGGCGCGCGGGTACGGGGAGGGGGAACGGGAGGGCGCAAGGGAATTTGGCCATAATGCTGTGTGAGAATCTGGAAATGTGCGGATTAGAAATGTGAGCAGGACTGGGGCCTCGGGTGAGAAGCGAAGTGAGAAGGGCAGAGTGAGAAGAGAAACTGCATGAGAAGAGACAAGTGAGAGAGGTGGGTGGAAGAGACGGACCATGGGGGGAGAAACACCGCCGTAGCGGTCCATGTTGGCTTGTGCACTGAGTGCATCCCACTGCTGGAAGAGACCGTTGCGGATCACTGCAACCATGCACACATGCACCAGACATGTGCACATGCATGCAATCATACACGCAGGCACAGGTGGGAGAGGAGGGGCGTATTAACCAGTGGCAAGAGAAAGGGAGCGTGCAGCAGATTGCAGTGCCAATTTCTGATACCCTTCCCTCTCCTTCCCTCCCGTGCCCTCCCGTTCCCTGCCTCTCCCTCCCATGCGTGTCCCACTCACGCTGCTGGTAGTGAATGAGGTTGCGGTACGACGTGGCAATCCACCCAGGGGGGGCAGCAGGGGGCTCCATAGGGTCCGTGCAGCATGGGTTGCCTGATGGGCGCGTGATGGGGCAATGGTACGGGGGAACGAGAGGGAAGGGGAGGAGGGAGGAAGAGAGAGTCGAGACGAGTTGTGAGGCGCCTGAAAGGGGTTTCATATGGTCCGTGCGTGGAACATTCGTATTGGCGTACACATGCTTAGTTGCATGGATGGCTGCATGATTGATAGCATGAGTGATCACATGCATGAGGGGAGAGAGGGGGGTTGTGTGTGTGTGAGAGGTGACCTGTGATGTTGGTGAGCAGGTCCTGGGGGTCGCCCGTGGTGACAAATTAGGTGAGCATGTTGTACCCCACCGCCTCCAGTACGCCTGATAGGAGCTCCGTGCTACTCCCATGCTCACCCATTCACACCCATGCACCCCCATGCACACCCATGCACCCCCATGCACACCCATGCACACCCATGCACATCCATGCACACCCATGCACGCCCCAGGATGGGACAGATGTGGACAGAAGTGGGTACAGGCATACCAGGATCGCGAAAACACAACCGAATCAGACAGGAAACACAAAGGAAGAGACAAGCAGCGGTGGGAACAATCGTGATGATGTAGTTCACACGCAGCGCGAAGCAAATGCTGTCTAAGGTGGGATATGACAAGCAGTTGTCACAGGTGTGCGTGAGTATATGGAAATAGAAACGTGTGCCTTGGAACACAGATATATGAAGTGGGAATAAAGGCACGTACGCAGAGACATTGTAGGCGCCGTACAAAAGATGAGCTTGGTACACGGCCTGGTTGCATTGGGGGAGAAGGGTTGGGAGAGAGGTTGGGAGGAGGGGAGAGTGGTGGTGGTGGTAGGTAGCTCCTGGCGCTGGAGCTGCTGCTGCTGCTGGGGGCGAAGCATGGGGCGACCGGACAGGAGGGATGGCAGGGACGGAAGCTCAAGCACGGCGGTGCTTGCCGCTACTGCTGTTGTTGTTGTTGCGGGTCCTGCTGGCCATGTGGTTGCAGCAGCAGCAGCAGGAGTCGTGGTGCGAGTGGTTGTGTCGGTGGTGGCAGAGGGGGCGAATAAGCCTGCAGTTGCTGCGCTCATTGTCCGCGCTGCTGCTTCTGCTGCTGCCACAGCGGCTGCACCGGCCGCGGAAACCGCGTTGGTGGGAGCAGGCGTGGGTGTGGTGGTGGTGAGTGGGGCTGTGGCAGCAGAAACAGCAGAGGTGGAGGCAGCGGGCATGGTGATGGGAGGCGCGGTGACAGACGTGTTGCTGATGCGCTGGATGCTCAGAATGTACCCGTCACTCGTGGTGATCTGTAGAACGGGGGGGTGGGACATGGGAGGACTTTTGAGGCGCCTCAAAAGTCGCTGGATGCTCAGAATGTACCCGTCACTCGTGGTGATCTGCGGCGCGGGGGGGGTGGGACATGGGGGGAAAGCAGGGCGGGTAGGCGGCCGTGCAGCCGGGCAGGTGGGCAGGGAACAAGGCGGGCAACACAAGAGAGGCAAATTTGACGTGTCAAAATGGCGCGAGAGAATGGCTCAAAGATGCAGCACTCCAATCCGGCAGGCACCCACCCACCTGGTACTCGCGGCACTGCAGCCCATACGGCCGCACGAAGCGGTCACAGAACCCCGACTCCTGCGCGCGCCCCATCTCCCTGCCCGTCGCGGACGCCGTTGCTGCTGCTGCTGCCGCCGCCGTGGGCTGAGCAGCCGCCAGAAGCGGCGCGGGCGGGAGGAAGGGGGAGGAGTAGGGAGAGAGGAGGAGGAAGAGCACGAGGAGGAGGGAGGCGGGGAGGAGGGGCAGGCCGGGAATGGGAGAGCGGAGAGGCTTCGCCATTAGAGGACGTTTTGAAGAGCGTCCTCTGGGAGCGAAGGGAGGGAGGGATGTCAGGCATATATGCTATAGTCTGTGTAGGCTGTAGTGGGGCAGTTCATATGGGGTACAACACTTTAGAGTTTGCTACTTGTACTCCCCTTTCTGCTCAATGCACTCATTTTCTCGTTTCTCATCATAGTATCGAGCAGGTTCCCTAGTGGGAACGCTACCTAGGGCCCACCACGATACTTTTTTTTTTCTGCCCGGAGCCCGCTTCACTCCTGCCCGAGTCGCGCTCTGTGTGCCCTCCCTACTTTCGAGCCGCCCTTAGTGGCCCCTCTCACGACCCCTTTAGCCGCCCTTACGGCCCCTCACGCCGCCCTCTACGGCCCCTCGCGCCGCCCTTACGGCCCCTTTAGGCCCCTCGTGTCGCCCTTACGGCCCTCGCGCGGCCCCTTTCGGCCCCTCGCGGCGCCCTTTCCGGCCCCTTACGGCCCCGTCTAGGCCCCTTGCGACCCCGCTACGGCCCCGTCTAGGCCCCTTACGGCCCCTCCGCGGCCCCGTCTAGGCCCCTTGCGGCCCCGCTACGGCCCCGTCTAGGCCCCTACGGCCCCTCCGCGGCCCCGTCTAGGCCCCTTGCGGCCCCGCTACAGCCCTGTCTAGGCCCCTTACGGCCCCTCCGCGGCCCCTTCTAAGCCCCTTGCGGCCCCGACGCCGCCACGTGCGGCCCCGTCGCCGCCACCAGCGGCCCCGTCGCCACCACCTGCGGCCCCGTCGCCGCCACCTGCGGCCACGCAGCCGCCACCTGCGGCCTCGCCGCCACCTACGGCCCCGTCGCCGTCACCTGCGGCCCCGTCACCCTCCCCTAGCGGCCCTGTCACCGCTCAGCTGCCCAGCGACCGAGCCGCTGAGCAGCCCAGCAGCAGAGCCGCCCTGCCGCCGAGCCGCCCAGCAGCCGAGCCGCCCTGCCGCCGAGCCGCCCAGCAGCTGAGCCGCCCAGCAGCCGAGCCGCCCTGCCGCCGAGCCGCCCAGCAGCCGAGCCGCCCAACAGCCGAGCCGCCCTGCCGCCGAGCCGCCAAGCCGCTGAGCCGCCCTACTGGCGAGCCGCTGCTGTTCCTACCGGTGCTCCCCGGCCCTCCTTCCTCGGACTGGTGAGCTCACTTCCTGCTAGGCCATCGCAGTCATGGCTACCCCTAGTGTCCTTACTTTTGATGCTGAGGGCCGTGCCAATGACTTTGAGGTCTGGGTCGATGACCTCCAGCTGTTTCTCCAGTGCGATAGGGCAGACGGCCTCTCTCTGTTCGATCTCACCTCTGGTGTCTCTCTTGCCCCAAGTGCCACTGCTGACAGCACTGTTCGCTCACAGTGGGCCACACACAATGCTGCTGCTCGCCTTGCTGTGCCTCGCCACTTAGCGGCCACTGAGCGTGCACACTTTAGCCAGTACAAGAGTGCTCAGACCTTGTACGACGCTGTAGTTGCACGCTACTCTTCCCCTGCCACTGCTGCACTGAGCCGCCACATGCTACCATACCTCTTCCCTGACCTTGCTGCCTTTCCCACAGTCGCTGACCTCATTACGCACCTCCGCACTAGTGACAATCCCTACCGCGCTGCGCTTCCTGCTGAGTTATGCGCCAAGAACCCCCCCCCCCATGTACATCACCCTCTAATACATAATCACCCGGCTCTGTGACTCTCTTCGCGTAGTCAGGGACCACTTCCTCTCCGTTTGCTCCACCACTCTCACCGTTGACCTCCTCGAGAATGGCCTCCTAGCAGCAGAGAAGAGCATAGTCGCTGTAGGAGCCTCTCGTGGTGACCCTCGCACCCCCGTCTTTGAGGGGTGTTCTTCCTCCCCCCTCTTGCCCTCTGTTGCTTCTGCTACTGCGGCCGACCTCGTTGGTTTCGAGTCGGTCGGCGCTGCGTCTGCCCCTAGCAAGAGACGCAGCACGGGCAAGGGCAAGGGGGGCAAGGGCGCTGGAGGGGCTGGCGGGGGCGGTGGAGGTGGTGGTGGAGGCAGTGGAGGGGGTGGGGGTGATGGTGGGAGTGGTGGCGGGGGTGGCGGCGGCAGCGGCAGCAGTGGAGGCACAGGAGGCGGCGGTGGTGGCGGAGGGAGCGGAGGTGGCGGAGAAGGCGGAGGTGGAGGAGGCGGCGGAAGCGGCGGCGGCGGCAGTGGACCTGGTCGCGGCTCTGCGCAGAGGAGTGGCTCCGGTGGTGGTACGCGCCAGCAGCAGCACCGCAATTGTGAGACCCTGTCCCCTCTGCAGCTTCGTGAGTGGTACGCTGCGCGTCAGCGCGGTGGGGGTACGGGTCCCTACACCTACGTTCTCCGCACCGGCGACCGTGCTGGTGAGCAGTGCGGGGGCCCGCACTCCACCCAGCGCTGCTTCGGCCGCCTGACGGACGCGTGGCGTCACCAGTTCCCTGGGGCTTCTGAGATCCCTCGCAGGGGAGAGCTGTCTAGGGCGGGGGTTGCTATCTTTGATCTTGATTTCGATGCTATTCTTGCTGCTATGTATGCTGTTGATGATGTGTTGCGGGTGACTGTTACCTGTGTGTACCGCCTAACCCGGGCATTGAGGCTGCTGCTCTAGGTGCTCGTGTGTCTACTGCCCCAGGTGCCAGTGCGTCTGCTGCCCCAGGTGCTGGTGAGTCTGCGCTCTCAGGTACTACGTCGGCACAGGCCTTACACACCTTCACCCTTGACTCGGGGGCGTCCTGCTCCTTCTTTCGAGACCGCACCACTCTTACGCCGCTCAGTCGGCCGGTTGCAGTCTCCCTGGCGGACCCCTCTGGGGGTCCTGTCCTTGCTAGCTTCTCCACAGTCTTACCGTGCTTCGCAGCCCCCTCTGGCACCCTGTCAGGTCTCTACCTCCCCTCGTTCTCTACGAACTTGGTGAGTGGAGCGGACCTACAGGATAGGGGGTTTGACCAGTTCACTCCTGCGAGTCAGCGGGTGACCCACTACACGGACGCTCGGACACGCCGACACTTGGCCACGTTCACCTGTCGGCCAGGATCGAGCCTGTACACCCTTACTACTGAGTCTCCTCCGGCTGCTCAGTCTGACCAGGTAGCTGCGTCGAGTCAGGTGTTTGCTGCAGCGTCCAGGTCTGGTCTTGAGTCTGCTCCTTGCTCGTGTCGTCTACTGTCCCACCAGACTCTCCATTGGCACCACCGCCTTGGTCACCCCTCCCTCCCTCGTCTCCGAGGCATGGCCTCCCGTGTCCTTGTCTCTGGTCTCCCTTGGTCTCTCCCTCCCCTACCTCCGGGGTCTGGCCCTACATGCGTCCCCTGCGTTGAGGGTCGACAGCGCGCCGCCCCTCACTCCTCCGAGTTTCCTCCGACAGAGGCTCCGCTGCAGACTCTCCACATGGACGTGTGGGGCCCCGCCCGCGTCAGTGGGCAGGGGCGCGAGCGGTTATTCCTGCTGGTGGTTGACGAGTACTCGCGTTACACCACAGTCTTCCCATTGCGCAGCAAGGGTGACGTCACTGAGGTGTTGATCGATTGGATCCGCGCAGCTCGACTCCAGCTCAGGGAGAGTTTCGGCTCGGACTTTCCTGTTCTGCGTTTGCACTCCGACAAAGGCGGGGAGTTTTGCTCTACCCGTCTAGGAGCTTTCTGTCGTGCGCAGGGCATCCACTAGACCTTCATGCTTTCGGCCTCTCCAAAGCAAAATGGGATTGCTGAGCTCCGCATTGGCATGGTCATGGACGTCGCTCGTACGTCCATGATGCATGCGGCTGCCCCCCATTTTCTGTGGCCGTTTGTGGTTCAGTACGCCGCGCATCAGCTCAACCTTCAGCCCCGTGTCTCCTTGCCAGAGACCTCCCCCGCCTTGCGGTGGACGGGGAAGGTTGGCGATGCGTCTGCGTTTCGGATCTGGGGATCTCGGGCGTTTGTCCGCGACTTGTCTGCGGACAAGCTGTCCCCCCGTGGTGTTCCCTACGTCTTCCTTGGCTTACCCCCTGACGCGCTTGGGTGGCACTTTTACCACCCCACCTCGCGCCGTGTTCTGTCCTCCCAGGACGTCACCTTTAACGAGTCGGTGCCTTACTACCGTCTCTTCCCCTACCGCACTGCGCCCCTCCCCCCGCCGCCGCTCTTCCTTGCGCCAGGTCCTCCCCCGATAAACCCCCTCCCCCTCAGGGTCCTGCCCCCTCAGGTGTGTCCCAGGTAGACGCAGTCGAGCCTGTCGAGGTAGCTGTTGACTCTGGTGCTGCTAGAGGTGCTGAGCCTGCTGGTGCCGGGTCTGGGGGTGCTGAGACTTGGGGTGATGAGACTGGGGGTGCTGAGTTTGGGGGTGCTGTGTCTGGGGGTGCTGAGCCTGGGGGTGCTGGGTCTGGGGGTGCGGAGCCTGGGGGTGCGGAGCCTGGGGGCGCTGGGTCTGCTTGGTGGTCGCCGGCGGTGCTTCGTCGAGGCGGGAGCCGCTCTCTCCACAGGAGCTGCGCGAGTGGTTTGCCCGCCGCTGGGGACGTGCTGCTGGAGGTGGAGGTGCTTCTGTTGCTGCTGGTCCCGAAGGTGCTCGTACTGGTGGGCCTTGAGCTGCTGGGGCCACTGGAGTTGGTCCTGCTGGAGCTGCTGGCGGTGCTGGTGCTGTAGGAGCTGGAGCTGCAGGGGGTGCTGGCGCTAGTGTTTCTATTGGCGCTAGTGCGTCTTGGGGTGCTACTGAGGCTGCTGGAGCTAGAGCTGCTGGAGCTGGAGCTGCTGGGGGTGTTGGCGCTGGCGATACTGCTGGCGCTAGTGCTTCTGAGGGTGCCTGAGTTGGCGCTGTTGGAGGTGGAGGTGCTGCTGGCGCTGGTGCTGCCGCTGAGGGTACTGGTGCTGTCCTTGCAGTTTCTACAGGCGCTGCGCGGCCGAGGTCGTACTTCGTTCCGCTCCTTCAGCAGGTTCTTGGTCTCCCGCCCTCTACTGGTCCTGCTCCTTCCTTAGAGTGTCCACAGCTTGTCTAGTCGCGATCACATTTACAGCCCGCCTCCCCCCTATCTGCTCCTTCTCCCTACACTGGTCCTACT